GTGAGCAGAGAGACTGTTCCTTGACCATGCTGATGCACTGCATACTGCCACCACCGGAGAGAAGCAGACACTCACTCTCTCCCTTACTCCCTCTCCACAACATTTTACATTTTAGTCATTTAGCAGACGCTCTTATCCAGAGTGACTTACAGGAGCAATTAGGGTTAAGTGCCTTGCTCAAGGGCACATCGACAGATTTTTCACCTAGTCGGCTCGGGGATTAGAACCAGCGACCTTTCGGTTACTGGCACAACCCCCTATGGAGGAGGAGGTGGAGATGGCTCACCCTATGAAGGAGGAGGTGGAGATGGCTCACCCTATGAAGGAGGAGGTGGAGATGGCTCACCCTATGAAGGAGGTGGAGGAGATGGCTCACCCTATGAAGGAGGAGGTGGAGGTGGCTCCCCCTATGGAGGAGGAGGTGGAGATGGATCCCCCTATGAAGGAGGAGGTGGAGATGGCTCCCCCTATGAAGGAGGAGGTGGAGATGGATCCCCCTATGAAGGAGGAGGAGGAGGTGGATCCCCTATGGAGGAGGAGGTGGAGGTGGAGGTGGCTCCCCCTATGAAGGAGGAGGTGGAGATGGATCCCCCTATGAAGGAGGAGGTGGAGGTGGCTCCCCCTATGAAGGAGGAGGTGGAGCTGGATCCCCCTATGGAGGAGGTGGAGGTGGATCACCCTATGAAGGTGGAGGTGGAGGTGGCTCACCCTATGGAGGAGGAGGTGGAGGTGGATCCCCCTATGGAGGAGGAGGTGGAGGTGGATCCCCCTATGGAGGAGGAGATGGAGGTGGATCACCCTATGAAGGAGGAGGTGGAGGTGGAGGTGGATCCCCCTATGAAGGAGGAGGTGGAGGTGGATCCCCCTATGGAGGTGGAGGTGGAGGTGGATCCCCCTATGGAGGAGGAGGTGGAGGTGGATCCCCCTATGAAGGAGGAGGTGGAGGTGGATCACCCTATGAAGGAGGAGGTGGAGGTGGAGGTGGATCCCCCTATGAAGGAGGAGGTGGAGGTGGATCCCCCTATGAAGGAGGAGGTGGAGGTGGATCACCCTATGAAGGAGGAGGTGGAGGTGGAGATGGCTCCCCCTATGGAGGAGGAGGTGGAGGTGGATCCCCCTATGGAGGAGGAGATGGAGGTGGCTCACCCTATGAAGGAGGAGGTGGAGGTGAATCACCCTATGAAGGAGGAGGTGGAGGTGTATCCATGTCTGTCTATGTTTTCTGTGATGCTCTGAGTTTTATCAAGGACACATTCCTACAATGTACTGTAATGACATGACATGATGGACACGTTACAATGTTAACTAATACTGTCCCCATTCCTGCCAAAGGGGAAAGCTGTTATTTTCTCAGCCCCACTTGACTATTTTACCCTGACTATTTTAACCTGACTGACTGTTTTAACCTGACTGACTGTTTCAACCTGACTGTTTTAACCTGACTGACTGTTTCAACCTGACTGTTTTAACCTGCCTGACTGTTTTAACCTGACTATTTTAACCTGACTGACTGTTTTAACCTGACTGACTGTTTTAACATGACTGTTTTAACCTGACTGACTGTTTTAACCTGAATATTTTAACCTGGCTGACTGTTTTAACCTGACTGACTATTTTAACCTGAATATTTTAACCTGACTATTTTAACCTGACTGACTATTTTAACCTGAATATTTTAACCTGACTGACTATTTTAACCTGAATATTTTAACCTGACTATTTTAACCTGACTGACTATTTTAACCTGAATATTTTAACCTGACTGACTATTTTAACCTGAATATTTTAACCTGACTATTTTAACCTGACTGACTATTTTAACCTGAATATTTTAACCTGACTGACTGTTTTAACCTGACTGACTGTTTTAACCTGACTGACTGTTTTAACCTGACTGACTGTTTTAACCTGACTGACTGTTTTAACATGACTGTTTTAATCTGACTGATTATTTCAACCTGACTGTTTCAACCTAACTGTTTTAAACTGACTGATTATTTTAACCTGACTGACTGTTTTAACCTGACTATTTCAACCTGACTGTTTTAAGTTGACTGTTTCAACCTGACTGTTTCAACCCGACTTACTGTTTTAACATGACTGACTGTTTTAACCTGACTGACGGTTTTAACCTGACTGACTGTTTTAACATGACTGTTTTAACCTGAATGTTTCAACCTGACTGTTTTAACCTGAATGTTCCAACCTGACTATTTTAACCTGACTATTTTAACCTGACTATTTTAACCTGACTATTCCTCCCTGAATGTTCCAACCTGACTATTTTAACCTGACTATTTTAACCTGACTATTTCACCCTGAATGTTCCAACCTGACTATTTTAACCTGACTATTTTACCCTGACTATTTTAACCTGACTATTCAACCCTGACTGTTCCAACCTGACTGTTCCACCCTGACTGTTTTAACCTGACTATTCCACCCTGAATGTTCCAACCTGAATGTTTCATCCTGACTGTTTTAACCTGCCTATTTTATCTGACTATTTTAACCTGACTATTTTAACCTGACTATTCCACCCTGAATGTTCCAACCTGACTGTTTTAACCTGACTGTTTTAACCTGACTGTTTCAGCCTGACTATTTTAACCTGACTGTTTCACCCTGACTGTTTTAACCTGACTGTTTTAACCTGACTATTTTAACCTGACTATTTTAACCTGACTGTTTTAATCTGACTATTTTAACCTGACTGTTTTAATCTGACTGTTCCACCCTGAATGTTCCAAGGGTAGCCAATATCTCTATTAATCACTGTTACTGTCCTGCATTGTGGAGTGGGCTCTGTCTAATGAGGCCATATCATGTGAGTATTAAATGTATTACATTTGATTGATGTGTTTGTAATGCTCATTACAGTTATGGGTGATTAATATGTGTGTGTATGGTTCAGGGACTATGTGAATGTATACCCAAAGATAACTTTCCACCTTTTACAAGATGGCGGCTTGTATTGTCACCTTTCAAACAACTTTTCTATGTACTGGTTTATTGTTTTTGTATTCAGACTGTAGTACTGTACTGTTTAATTTACTACAGACTGTAGTACTATACTGTTTAATTTACCACAGACTGTAGTACTATACTGTTTAATTTACTACAGACTGTAGTACTATACTGTTTAATTTACCACAGACTGTAGTACTATACTGTTTAATTTACTACAGACTGTAGTACTATACTGTTTAATTTACTACAGACTGTAGTTCTATACTGTTTAATTTACTACAGACTGTAGTACTATACTGTTTAATTTACTACAGACTGTAGTACTATACTGTTTAATTTACTACAGACTGTAGTACTATACTGTTTAATTTACTTCAGACTGTAGTACTATACTGTTTAATTTACCACAGACTGTAGTACTATACTGTTTAATTTACTGCAGACTGTAGTACTATACTGTTTAATTTACTACAGACTGTAGTACTATACTGTTTAATTTACTACAGACTGTAGTACTATACTGTTTAATTTACTACAGACTGTAGTACTATACTGTTTAATTTACTACAGACTGTAGTACTATACTGTTTAATTTACTACAGACTGTAGTACTATACTGTTTAATTTACTACAGACTGTAGTACTATACTGTTTAATTTACTACAGACTGTAGTACTATACTGTTTAATTTACTACAGACTGTAGTACTATACTGTTTCTTTTACTACAGACTGTAGTACTATACTGTTTAATTTACCACAGACTGTAGTACTATACTGTTTAATTTACTACAGACTGTAGTACTATACTGTTTAATTTACTACAGACTGTAGTACTATACTGTTTCTTCTACTACAGACTGTAGTACTATACTGTTTAATTTACCACAGACTGTAGTACTATACTGTTTAATTTACTACAGACTGTAGTACTATACTGTTTAATTTACTACAGACTGTAGTACTATACCGTTTAATTTACTACAGACTGTAGTACTATACTGTTTAATTTACTACAGACTGTAGTACTATACTGTTTAATTTACTACAGACTGTAGTACTATACTGTTTCTTCTACTACAGACTGTAGTACTATACTGTTTAATTTACCACAGACTGTAGTACTATACTGTTTAATTTACTACAGACTGTAGTACTATACTGTTTAATTTACTACAGACTGTAGTACTATACTGTTTAATTTACTACAGAATGTAGTACTATACTGTTTCTTCTACTACAGACTGTAGTACTATACTGTTTAATTTACCACAGACTGTAGTACTATACTGTTTAATTTACTACAGACTGTAGTACTATACTGTTTAATTTACTACAGACTGTAGTACTATACTGTTTAATTTACCACAGACTGTAGTACTATACTGTTTAATTTACTACAGAATGTAGTACTATACTGTTTCTTCTACTACAGAGTGTAGTACTATACTGTTTAATTTACTACAGACTGTAGTACTATACTGTTTCTGTAGTACTATACTGTTTCTTCTACTACAGACTGTAGTACTATACTGTTTAATTTACTACAGACTGTAGTACTATACTGTTTAATTTACTACAGACTGTAGTACTATACTGTTTCTTCTACTACAGACTGTAGTACTATACTGTTTCTTCTACTACAGTTTTAGAGTGTTTAATTCAGGTTGATCAGCTGTAAACATCAGGGAGCCGTGTTAGTTTAGAATGCTCATTTATTATTATTGCATGATTGCATTTAGTTCAAATCATATACGTCTGAACTATATAATTCCCCTGCTGTGAGCTTAATGTCTCAACTATACTAGGAAACTGGAAAGACAAAGTCCTACTAATATTTGATATATTTACAAAGAAATTGACAAAAGATGTGAAAATAACAAGCAATGAATGAAAATATGTTTTAACAAAATGTTTTTTAAAGCCTGACTAGTTGCCTCTAATCCTTTCTACTGCAGGTGGTTCGGTGGTTGATTGGCTCCATGTGTTGAGGCCTAGCGCTGGCTGAAGCCTGGGTGTTTCCTGGAGTCTCTACCCGTCGGGCCCTGCTCCACTGCCTGCCAGGCTGTCCAGGGAGAGCAGGGGCCGTAGTTTGATGGTGGTGTGTCGTAGGGAGTACCACAGGCCTCTCCAGGTGCCCCACACCACACCGTTGTCATAGAGACCCTTGTAGACTCCGCCACGGTAGAACTTCCCATTCAGGTTGGCTGCATGACACCTGGAGAGACAGGTGAAATACAAAACATGTACTGAGTTCTGAGTACAGAGCGAGAGAAATACATTACAGTGTTACAGCTTATCAAGTGCAGCCAAGAGATAGTAAGCAACACGTATAAAAAGAGAGTGACAGACAGAAAGACATGACAACTGGAAAAGGAGGAGGAAAGGAACACAACATGTAATGAGATGGAGCACTAGGAGAGGGATCTAGAGGGATACACAGAGTGGGACATACTTTTGTGGAGAAATGTCCTCTGGTCTGATGAAACAAAAATATAACTGTTTGGCCATAATGACCATCGTTATGTTTGGAGGAAAAAGGGGGTACTTGCAAGCCGAAGAACGCCATCCCAACCGTGAAGCACGGGGGTGGCAGCATCATGCTGTGGGGGTGCTTTGCTGCAGGAGGGACTGGTGCACTTCACAAAATAGATGGCATCATGAGGAAGGAAAATTGTGTGGATATATTGAAGCAACATCTCAAGACATCAGTCAGGAAGTTAAAGCTTGGTCGTAAATGGGTCTTCCAAATGGACAATGACCCCAAGCATACTTCCAAAGTTGTGGCAAAATGGCTTAAGGACAACAAAGTCAAGGTATTGGAGTGGCCATCACAAAGCCCTGACCTCAATCCTGTAGAAAATATGTGGGCAGAACTGAAAAAGTGTGTGCGAGCAAGGAGGCCTACAAACCTGACTCAGTTACACCAGCTCTGTCAGGAGGAATGGGCCAAAATTCACCCAGCTTGTGGATGGCTACCCAAAACGTTTGACTTCAAATGTAAACTTCTGACCCACTGGGAATGTGATGAAAGAAATAAAAGCTTAAATAAATCATTCTCTCTACTATTCTTCTGACATTTCACATTCTTAAAATAAAGTGGTGATCCTAACTGACCTAAAACAGGGAATTTGTACTAGGATTAAATGTCAGGAATTGTGAAAAACTGAGTTTAAATGTATTTGGCTAAGGTGTATGTAAACTTCCGACTTTAACTGTATCTGGAGCCAACTCTGCAAATAGCACTACTGGGTGATTTAAAAAGTAATAGTCAATTGATCAATAATATAACAATACTCTTAGCAACATTTTTTAATCTTTGATTTACAATCTGTAGAAACTATGAGAATTGAAAGGTTCAGAACTTTTGTGAAACATCAGAGCACAGTCAAAACTGGAGGGTGTTCAGAGATAGATGGGAGGGGTTGAATGGAGCTGAAGGATGGGACTAAAAACAAACAAAAGATAACAATTGTAAAATATACTGTGTCCGTAAAATGTATATAGTATGTACAAGCTGGAAGTAAAAGCCTATGTATTGTTGTCCATAAGCTTACAAAAAAAACAGAAAACTTGAGTGTGCATAACTATTCACACCCCCCCTCCCCAAAGTCAATATTTTGTAGAACCACCTTTTGCAGCAATTACAGCTGCAAGTCTCTTTGGGTATGTCTCTATAAGCTTGGCACATCTAGCCACTGGGATTTTTGCCCATTCTTCAAGGCAAAACTGCTCCAGCTCCTTCAAGTTGAATGGGTTCCGCTGGTGTACACCAATCTTTAAGTCATACCACAGATTCTCAATTGGATTGAGGTCTGGGCTTTGACTAGGCCATTCCAAGACATTTAAATGTTTCCCCTTAAACCACTCGAGTGTTGCTTTAGCAGTATGCTTAGGGTCATTGTCCTGCTGGAAGGTAAACCTCCGTCCCAGTCTCAAATCTCTGGAAGACTGAAACAGGTTTCCCTCAAGAATTTCCCTGTATTTAGCGCCATCCATTATTTATTCAATTCTGACCAGTTTCCCAGTCCCTGACGATGAAAAACATCCCCACAGCATGATGCTGCCACCACCATGCTTCACTGTGGGGATGGTGTTCTCGGGGTGATGAGAGGTGTTGGGTTTGTGCCAGACATAGCGTTTTCCTTGATGGCCAAAAAACTCAATTTTAGTCTCATCTGACCAGATTACCTTCTTCCATATGTTTGGGGAGTCTCCCACATGCCTTTTGGCGAACGTGTTTGCTTATTTATTTCTTTAAGCAATGTCTTTTTCTGGCCACTCTTCCGTAAAGCCCAGCTCTGTAGAGTGTACGGCTTAAAGTGGTCCTATGGACAGATACTCCAATCTCCGCTGTGGAGCTTTGCAGCTCCTTCAGAGTTATATTTGGTCTCTTTGTTGCCTCTCTGATTAATGCCCTCCTTGCCTGGTCCATGAGTTTTGGTGGGCGGCCCTCTCTTGGCAGGTTTGTTGTGGTGCCATATTCTTTCCATTTTTAATAATGGATTTAAATGCTCCGTGGGATGTTCAAAGTTTCTGATATTTTTTTTATAACCCAACCCTGATCTGTACTTCTCCACAAATGTGTCCCTGACCTGTTTGGGGAGCTCCTTGGTCTTCATGGTGCCGCTTGCTTGGTGGTGCCCCTTGCTTAGTGGTGTTGCAGACTCTGGGGCCTTTCAGAACAGGTGTATATATACTGAGATCATGTGACAGATCATGTGACACTTAGATTGCACACAGGTGGACTTTATTTAACTAATGCTGTGACTTCTGAAGGTAATTGGTTGCACCAGATCTTATTTAGGGGCTTCATAGCAAAGGGGGTGAATACATATGCACGCACCACTTTTCCGTTATACATTTTTTAGAATTGTTTGAAACAAGTTATTTTTTTCATTTCACTTCACCAATTTGGACTATTTTTGTATGTCCATTACATGAAATCCAAATAAAAATCAATTTAAATTACAGGTTGTAATGCAACAAAATAGGAAAAACACCAAGGGGGATGAATACTTTTGCAAGGCACTGTATTTAGTTATTAAGCTTCTCTCAATAATCATTCTCTGTAGCTCAGCTGGTAGAGCACGGCGCTTGTAACGCCAAGGTAGTGGGTTCGAGCCCCGGGACCACCAATACACACAAAAAAATATAAATAAATGTATGCACGCATGACTGTAAGTCGCTTTGGATAAAAGCGTCTGCTAAATGGCATATTATTATTCTTCTTCTTATTATTATTATTATTATTGTTATATTATTGACAATAGCACATTGGTAGTAGTCAGTAACAACTATCAAAGCTAAGCAGGGATTGGTTAAAACCCAGGATGGGAGACCAAATGGAGGAGGGGCTGCCCAGACAATTGTTTTATTGAAACACGGACCAAGGACTTTCGCCCCTATACCCAGGTCTCTTTGAGACCACAGACTCATAACAAAAGCATCTGAAAGAGGAGATTCTCAGCAACATTAGATCGGGGAAACGTTACTGCCTGTGTTTCCTGTAAACTTGCCTAGAGAGGTAGAGAGACATCAGGCTGAATTAGTCTCCTCACCCACCTGTTATATACCACCACCCTCCTCTGTTCTCCTGGGGTAGTCTCCTCACCCACCTGTTATATACCACCCTCCTCTGTTCTCCTGGGGTAGTCTCCTCACCCACCTGTTATACCACCACCCTCCTCTGTTCTCCTGGGGTAGTCTCCTCACCCACCTGTTATACCACCACCCTCCTCTGTTCTCCTGGGGTAGTCTCCTCACCCACCTGTTATATACCACCCTCCTCTGTTCTCCTGGGGTAGTCTCCTCACCCACCTGTTATATACCACCCTCCTCTGTTCTCCTGGGGTAGTCTCCTCACCCACCTGTTATATACCACCCTCCTCTGTTCTCCTGGGGTAGTCTCCTCACCCACCTGTTATACCACCACCCTCCTCTGTTCTCTTGGGCACAGCTGCCCTGTAGATAGCGGTCATGGTCCTATAGGAATCGTCAGGATAAAACATTACAATTACATTGTGCTTTTTACTGCAAAAATGTAGTGCTTTTCACTGTGCTCAATACACTATGAGTGTCTCCAAAGGTGTCTACAATAATCACATGAAGAAGAAATGCCTTCATCACATACTGGCTTTATATTGGAAGGGAACAGCTGTGACTAACCTGGGAATGATTGATTAGGAAGCTGTGACTAACCTGGGAATGATTGATTAGGAAGCTGTGACTAACCTGGGAATGATTGATTAGGAAGCTGTGACTAACCTGGGAATGATTGATTAGGAAGCTGTGACTAACCTGGGAATGATTGATTAGGAAGCTGTGACTAACCTGGGAATGATTGATTAGGAAGCTGTGACTAACCTGGGAATGATTGATTAGGAAGCTGTGACTAACCTGGGAATGATTGATTAGGAAGCTGTGACTAACCTGGGAATTATTGATTAGGAAGCTGTGACTAACCTGGGAATGATTGATTAGGAAGCTGTGACTAACCTGGGAATGATTGATTGAGTAGCTGTGACTAACCTGGGAATGATTGATTGATTAGGAAGCTGTGACTAACCTGGGAATGATTGATTAGCTGTGACTAACCTGGTCTCTGGTGCTGAACTGCATCCCACTGAGAGAGGCAGACCACTGCTCCACCATCCGCCCTCCTCCAGATAAAGCATCCCCTCCACGACCACTATACACACCGTACCGTAGACGATAGCTATCCTGGGGATAAAGGGAGGAGAGGAGAAGAACGGTAAGGGTTACAGTACAGGCTCCCCTCCACGACCACTATACACACCATACCGTAGACGATAGCTATCCTGGGGATAAAGGGAGGAGAGGAGAGGAACGGTAAGGGTTACAGTACAGGCTCCCTCCAAGACCACTATACACACCGTACCGTAGACGATAGTTATCCTGGGGATAAAGGGAGGAGAGGAACGGTAAGGGTTACAGTACAGCCTCCCCTCCACGACCACTAGACACACCATACCGTAGACGATTAGCCTCCCCTCCACGACCACTATACACACCATACCGTAGACGATAGCTATCCTGGGGATAAAGGGAGGAGTGGAGAGGAACGGTAAGGGTTACAGTACATCCTCCCCTCCACGACCACTAGACACACCATACCGTAGACGATAGCTATCCTGGGGATAAAGGGAGGAGAGGAGAGGAACGGTAAGGGTTACAGTACATCCTCCCCTCCACGACCACTAGACACACCATACCGTAGACGATAGCTATCCTGGGGATAAAGGGAGGAGAGGAGAGGAACGGTAAGGGTTACAGTACAGCCTCCCCTCCAAGACCACTAGACACACCGTACCGTAGACGATTAGCCTCCCCTCCAAGACCACTATACACATCGTACCATAGACGATTAGCCTCCCCTCCAAGACCACTATACACATCGTACCATAGACGATTAGCCTCCCCTCCAAGACCACTATACACATCGTACCATAGACGATTAGCCTCCCCTCCAAGACCACTATACACATCGTACCATAGAAAATTAGCCTCCAACACCACAATAAAAACCATACCATAGACGATTAGCCTCCCTCCAAGACTACTAGACACATCATACCATAGACGATTAGCCTCCCTCCAGATAGAGAGAGTGGAGGGAGGGAGAGAGAGAGTGGAGGGGAGTGAGAGGAGAGGGGAGAGGGAAGGAGGGAAGCCGCGGTAGAGAAGAGAGGGGAGGGAGGGAGAGGGGGAGGAACGAAGGGAGGGAGAGGGGGGAGGAGGGGGGGGGGGAGGAACGGGGAGGGAGAGGAGAGATGGGAGGAGGGAGGGGGAGGAGAAAAGAGAGGGGATGGGAGGGAGATGGGGAGGAGGGGGAGGAAGGGCGGAGAGGGAGATGGGAGGGAGGGGGAGTGGGGGATTGGAGAGTGAGATGGGATGATGGGAGGGGGGAGGGGGAGGCGAGTGGAGGGGAGAGAGGGAGGGGGGGGAGGGAGTTGGTGGAGGAGAGAGGGAAGATGGTGGGAGGCGAGTGGGGAGGAGATGGGGGGGCGGGAGGATGGATGGGGAGGGAGGTACAGGGAGTAGATAGTAAAGGGTAGAGTACAGTAGTACCCTGCAGGTTATACCACCTGAAGGGAACTAACAATCAATTATCAGTTGAATATGTGTGGTTATTAGACCTACTGACGGTGGATACTGATAGTGGCTAATATTTAACATGATAGAAATAGGAAACAGAGAAAGTCGGGGTAGCCTATAATTAGGACATTCGAGAGTTGCCCATCCCTGCCAGTTAAATTATGCATCATGGCTCAGCATTTCATGTACTTTACTGTGGGAAAGTTAATATGTTTCAATATGCTGCCATATGACTGGTTTCACATTTGTCTCCAGTGATTATAAGGTCAAATAGATCTAAAATAAGTGTCATCTACAGAAAGTAGATGCCTTCACAAACTATTCATCCCCCTTGACTTTTTCCACATTTTGTTGTGTTACAACCTGAATTTAAAATAGCTTAAATTGAGTTTTTTTGTCACTGGCCTACACACAGTACCCCATAATGTCAAAGTGGAATTATTTTTTCTGAAATTTGTACAAATTAATTTAAAATGAAAAGCTGAAATGTCTTGTGTCAGACAGACCTGGCTTTTAAATACTTTACCTGTCCACCTGACAGAGAACCTCCACAACTACTACAGAGGATGAAATGAGTTGAATCAGTAGTACACTGACTTTACCTGCCATTCCACAGACTATACACAGTCTGAGTGTCTCACCTTCTCCTCTGTTATCCTGAAGTTCTGGTAGTAGACGTGAGTCTTCTCTCCACTCCAGTCCATCAGATCTATCTTCACCAGGTTCTCACCTCAAACACACACACACATTATTACACACATTATTACACACACACACACTATTACACACACACACACACACACACACACACACACACACACACACATTATTACAGACACACACACACACACACACACACACATTATTACACACACACACACACACACATTATTACACACACATTATTACAGAAAAATTATTATACACACGTTATTACACACACACACACACTATTACACACACACACACACACACACTATTACACACACACACACACTATTACACACACACACACACACACACACACACACACATTATTACAGACACACACACACACACACACACACACACACATTATTACACACACACACACACACACATTATTACACACACATTATTACAGAAAAATTATTATACACACGTTATTACACACACACACACACTATTACAAACACACACAATCACATAATAATCAGTAGCCTGTTCAAGTATCTTGCTCTCGATCTCGATCCAGTGTTTATTAGGGTTAGAGAGAATTGATCCAGTGTTTATTAGTGTTGAAGAGATTTGATCCAGTTAGTTAACCTAGAGTCAAGGGTGAGGATAGGAAGGGAAGTTGGAGGCCACGGAAGGACAACATGACAACATAGTGGTATGTCCAGTGGTCGTCGTCGGGTGAGGTTGTGTCTCTCTCTGGCGGGAGGTAAGCTTAGCTTATATGGCTTATATGGTGTTGAGTAAAGCTTAAACTATGTAGTTAGATTGTAGTTAGGTATTGTAGGTAGTTATCGTAGGTTATTGTATGTAATTATTGTAAGTATTGTATTCGGCTGAGCCCGGTGAAGCACGAGGCTAGCTAACCCACTACCTGGACTAGCTAGCGGGCAGCTACTGGTAACTATTAGCAACTGTGGATAGTTGTTTCACGCCTGAGAGTGCCTGTAATTACGCCAGCTGGCTGCCTACAATAATTACATACAATAATGCCTACCATTCAGCTGTTTTCTAACCTCATTGTCTGAAGCGTTAACGTTAGGTAGTAAGTAGCTACTGTGCTTGAAATTTAGCTAGCTTGTTGCTACCTGGATAGCTACTAAACAATAGCTGGAACGACCTAGCGAACAGACGCGAACTGGCTGAGTCAATTCAGTGGCTAGCTTTGCACTCGGCTAGCTAACAGTAGCTGCTAGGGGTAAGTTATAACCTACATTTGTGTTTTGTTTTTACATACTGGTAGCCAGAGTCGTTCAAGGGAATTCGGGACATGGGTGACTAGTTAACGTTAGCTTGGCTCTCTCTGTGTGTTCATGCTGTGGGAGGACGGGTTTCTGCGTTGGCAGAAAGCAATGGCTAGCTAGTATGCTAACTATTCTAGCTAACTAACTGGCTGAATAAGTTGACGACAGACTCGCTCAAGCTGTCGGGACTAACCCACAACGTTAGACACAGACACAAATGATCTGCTTGGCGTGTTGACACACTGGTGGTTTGTTGTGGCCGAGTATTGGTGCTAAACCGTGTTGTTGGAGCCCGGCATGCTAGTTGGCTGTGGCGTCATATGACTAGGTGCCCTGGACGGTTTTCACGGAAGAATACTGTACCAAGTTAGCTAGCTGAATAAACTAAGTTAGTCTATTCCTAGAAAACATTGAACCGCTGTAGTTTACAACAATTATAGTTTCTGAGGTGGAAGTTGGAGAGTTATATTTGGGTGTTTCAGTGAAACGTAAGTGAGGGAGGCCCCGCTCTCTCGCTTTCCCAGATGTTTAGTTCATTTCATTCCAATCTTCTTTGCATTATTGTAGCCATTTTCTGTAGCCTGTCAACTATGTGTCTGTCTATCCCTGTTCTCTCCTCTCCGCATAGGCTATACAAACGCTTCACACCGCGTGGCTGCTGCCTCTCTAACCTGGTGGTCCCTGCACGCACGACCCACGTGGAGTTCCAGGTCTCCGGCAGCCTCTGGAACTGCCGTTCTGCGGCCAACAAGGCAGAGTTCATCTCAGTCTATGCTACCCTCCAGTCCCTCGACTTCTTGGCGCTGACGGAAACATGGATTACCACTGAAAACACTGCTACTCCTACTGCTCTCTCCTCGTCTGACCATGTGTTCTCGCATACCCCGAGAGCATCTGGTCAGCGGGGTGGTGGCACAGGAATCCTAATCTCTCCCAAGTGGACAGTCTCTCTTTTTCCCCTGACCCATCTGTCTATCTCCTCACTTGAATTCCATGCTGTCACAGTCACTAGCCCATTCAAGCTTAACATCCTTGTCATTTATCGCCCTCCAGGTTTCCTTGGAGAGTTCATCAATGAGCTTGACGCCTTGATAAGTTCCTTTCCTGAGGATGGCTCACCCCTCACAGTTCTGGGTGACTTTAACCTCCCTACGTCTACCTTTGACTCATTTCTGTCTGCCTCCTTTCCACTCCTCTCCTCTTTTGACCTCACCCTCTCACCGTCCCCCCTACTCACAAGGCAGGCAATACGCTTGACCTCATCTTTACTAGATGCTGTTCTTCTACTAATCTCACTGAAACTCACCTCCATGTCTCCGACCACTACTTTGTATCCTTTTCTCTCTCGCTCTCCTCCAACACTACTCACTCTGCCCCTACTCAGATGGTAATGCGCCGTCACAACCTTCGCTCTCTCTCTCCCGCTACTCTCTTCTCTTCCATCCTATCATCTCTTCCCTCTGCTCAATCCTTCTCCCTCCAATCTCCTGATTCTACCTCCTCAACCCTCCTCTACTCCCTTTCTGCATCCTTTGACTCTCTATGTCCCCTATCCTCCCGGCCGGCTCAGTCCTCCCCTCCTGCTCCGTGGTTTGACGACTCATTGCGAGTTCACAGAACAGGGCTCCGGGCAGCCGAGCGGAAATGGAGGAAAACTAGACTCCCTGCGGACCTGCCATCTTTTCACTCCCTCCTCTCTACATTTTCTTCATCTGTTTCTGCTGCTAAAGCCACTTTCTACCACTGTAAATTCCAAGCATCTGCCTCTAACCCTAGGAAGCTCTTTGCCACCTTCTCCTCCCTGCTGAATCCTCCAATCCTCCCTCCCCCCCCCCCCCCCCTCCTCCCTCTCTGTGGATGACTTCATCAACCATTTTGAAAAGAAGGTTGACGACATCCGATCCTCGTTTGTTAAGTCAAATGACACTGCTGGTCCTGCTCACATTGCCCTACCCTATGTTTTGACTTCTTTCTCCCCTCTCTCTCCAGATGAAATCTTGCGACTTGTGACGGCCGGCCGCCCAACAACCTGCCCGCTTGACCCTATCCCCTCTTCTCCAGACCATCTCCGGTGACCTTCTCCCTTACCACACCTCGCTCATCAACACATCCTTGACCACTGGCTATGTCCCTTCCGTCTTCAAGAGAGCGAGAGTTGCACCCCTTCTCAAAAAACCAACACTCGATCCCTCCGATGTCAACAACTACAGACCAGTATCCCTTCTTTCTATTCTCTCCAAAACTCTTGAGCGTGCCGTCTTTAGCCAACTCTCTTGCTATCTCTCTCAGAATGACCTTCTTGATCCAAACCAGTCAGGTTTCAAGACTGGTCATTCAACTGAGACTGCTCTTCTCTGTGTCACGGAGGCTCTCCGCACTGCTAAAGCTAACTCTCTCTCCTCTGCTCTTGTCCTTCTAGACCTGTCTGCTGCCTTTGATACTGTGAACCATCAGATCCTCCTCTCCACCCTCTCCGAGTTGGGCATCTCCGGCGCGGCTCACTCTTGGATTGCGTCCTACCTGACAGGTCGCTCCTACCAAGTGGCATGGTGAGAATCTGTCTCCGCACCACATGCTCTCACCACTGGTGTCCCCCAGGGCTCAGTTCTAGGCCCTCTCCTATTCTCGCTATACACCAAGTCACTTGGCTCTGTCATATCCTCACATGGCCTCTCCTATCATTGCTACGCAGACGACACACATCTAATCTTCTCCTTTCCCCCTTCTGATAACCAGGTGGCGAATCGCATCTCTGCATGTCTGGCAGACATATCAGTGTGGATGATGGATCACCACCTCAAGCTGAACCTCGGCAAGACGGAGCTGCTCTTCTTCCCGGGGAAGGACTGCCCGTTCCATGATCTCGCCATCACGGTTGACAACTCCGTTGTGTCCTCCTCCCAGAGTGCGAAGAGCCTTGGCGTGACGCTGGACAACACCCTGTCGTTCTCCGCTAACAAGGCGTCGACCCGATCCTGTAGGTTCATGCTCTACAACATTTGGAGAGTACGACCCTGCCTTACACAGGAAGCGGCACAGGTCCTAATCCAGGCACTTGTCATCTCCCGTCTGGATTACTGCAACTCGCTGTTGGCTGGGCTCCCTGCCCATGCCATTAAACCCCTACAACTCATCCAGAATGCCACAGCCCATCTGGTGTTCAACCTTCCCAAGTTCTCTCACGTCACCCCGCTCCTCCGCACACTCCACTGGCTTCCAGTTGAAGCTCGCATCTGCTACAAGACCATGGTGCTTGCCTACGGAGCTGTGAGGGGAACGGCACCTCCGTACCTTCAGGCTCTGATCAGTCCCTACACCCAAACGAGGGCATTGCGGTCATCCACCTCTGGCCTGCTGGCCCCCCTACCTCTGTGGAAGCACAGTTCCCACTCAGCCCAGTCAAAACTGTTCGCTGCTCTGGCACCCCAATGGTGGAACAAGCTCCCTCACGACGCCAGGACAGCGGAGTCACTCACCACCTTCCGGAGACACTTGAAACCCCACCTCTTTAAGGAATACCTGGGATAGGATAAAGTAATCCTTCTACCCCCCCTTACCCCACCCCAAAGAAAGAAAAAAATATATATATTGTAAAGTGGTTGTCCCACTGGCTATAAGGTGAATGCACCAATTTGTAAGTCGCTCTGGATAAGAGTGTCTGCTAAATGACGTAAATGTAAATGTAAATATAGTGCACTACTGTTGACCAAATGGCACCCTATTCCCTATATAGTGCCCTACTGTTGACCAAAGCCCTATGGGCCCTGATGAAAAGTAGTGCACTATAAAGAGAATTGGATGCCATTTTGGGACGCACTCATATTTGTTTATTAGGGTTAAAGAGATTTGATCCAGTGTTTATTAGCACCAGAGAGATTTGATACAGATCAGCACTCCCACATGTGATCACTGCCTGGGGATTTTGCCACGCTCCCATTGATCGAGGTCTGAGTCATAGCTGTTACAGGAAGTCATCTCTTGTTGAGTTAATGTGTCTTACCTTCTAGAGGGGAAGGGAAGGGGGATACCTCATTAGTTGCACAACTGAATGCATTCAACCGAAATGTGTCCGCAAATAACCCAACCCCTCTGAATCAGAGAGGTATGGGGTGATCAACGTCACCTGCTTGGGGGTTAACTGTCTTGCTCAAGGGCAGAATGGCAGATATTTTCACCTTGCCGGCTCAGGGATTCGAACCAGTGACTTCTCGCTTACTGCCCCAACGCTCTTAACCGCTTGGTTACCTGCCACCCCTAAAACCAGGGAGTGAATGTGTTCTGGGGCCGTATGAATCAAGCCTCTCATAGGGTTACATATGGCCCCAGATCTTACCATCTTTCACCAGAGAATGGATGTGTTCATTGCCCAGCCAGAATTCATCGTTCCACAGCTTAAAGTCTCCAAACCCGTCTCTGTAGTCCACCCAGTCTCTATGGAGGAGAGAACATTCACTGGTTCAGTCTAGAACATTCACTGGTTCAGTCTCTATGGAGGAGACAACATTCACTGGTTCAGTCTCTATGGAGGAGACAACATTCACTGGTTCAGTCTCTATGGAGGAGACAACATTCACTGGTTCAGTCTCTATGGAGGAGACAACATTCACTGGTTCAGTCTCTATGGAGGAGACAACATTCACTGGTTCAGTCTCTATGGAGGAGAGAACATTCACTGGTTCAGTCTCTATGGAGGAGACAACATTCACTGGTTCAGTCTCTATGGAGGAGACAACATTCACTGGTTCAGTCTCTATGGAGGAGACAACATTCACTGGTTCAGTCTCTATGGAGGAGACAACATTCACTGGTTCAGTCTCTATGGAGGAGACAACATTCACTGGTTCAGTCTCTATGGAGGAGACAACATTCACTGGTTCAGTCTCTATGGAGGAGACAACATTCACTGGTTCAGTCTCTATGGAGGAGACAGCATTCACTGGTTCAGTCTCTATGGAGGAGACAACATTCACTGGTTCAGTCTCTATGGAGGAGACAACATTCACTGGTTCAGTCTCTATGGAGGAGACAACATTCACTGGTTCAGTCTCTATGGAGGAGACAACATTCACTGGTTCAGTCTCTATGGAGGAGACAACATTCACTGGTTCAGTCTCTATGGAGGAGACAACATTCACTGGTTCAGTCTCTATGGAGGAGACAACATTCACTGGTTCAGTCTCTATGGAGGAGACAACATTCACTGGTTCAGTCTCTATGGAGGAGACAACATTCACTGGTTCAGTCTCTATGTCGCTACGCTAACACACAGTAGCTAGTAGCTGAATGCCACAGTGCTGATGTGATAAATTACTGTCTGATCACAGAGGTTAAACAGGCCCGCTTCCCAAAGGACGCACAGACACACAGACACACACCTGTTGAAGTCGACCCTCCCGTGTCTTCGTCGCTGTATAACGGTCCATCCCCCTCCATCCTCCATGTCGCAGTAGACTAGGACCGGCTCCTGATCCACTCTAGGTCTGATCCGGTAAAACCCGGAGCCCGGCCTCCGTCTGTCAAACAGCTCAGAGCAGTCTAGAGGAGAGACTCCAGATTATCACGGTTTACTATAGATGAAGGCAGATTTTACACTCACTAACCATTAAAAACATAGTATTTTATTAAAAACAAATCAAATCACATTTTATTGGTCACAAACACATATTTAGCAGATGTTATTGCGGATGTAGCGAAATGCTTGTGTTCCTAGCTCCAATTCACAACAATACACACAAATATAAAAGTAAAATAATGAAATTAAGAAATATATAAATATTAGGACGAGCAATGTCAGAGTAGCATTGACTAAAATACAGTAGAATAGAATACAGTATATAGCTACAGTGAGGGAAAAAAGTATTTGATCCCCTGCTGATTTTGTACGTTTGCCCACTGACAAATAAATGATCAGTCTATAATTTTAATGGTAGGTTTATTTGAACAGTGAGAGACAGAATAACAACAACAAAAATCCAGAAACACGCATGTAAAAAATGTTATAAATTGATTTGCATTTTAATGAGGGAAATAAGTATTTGACCCCCTCTCAATCAGAAAGATTTCTCGCTTCCAGGTGTCTTTTATACAGGTAACGAGCTGAGATTAGGAGCACACTCTTAAAGGGAGTGCTCCTAATCTCAGCATGTTACCTTTATAAAAGACACCTGTCCACAGAAGCAATCAATCAATCAGATTCCAAACTTTCCACCATGGCCAAGACCAAAGAGCTCTCCAAGGATGTCAGGGACAAGATTGTAGACCTACACAAGGCTGGAATGGCCTACAAGACCATCGCCAAGCAGCTTGGTGAGAAGGTGACAACAGTTGGTGCGATTATTCGCAAATGGAAGAAACACAAAAGAACTGTCAATCTCCCTCGGCCTGGGGCTCCATGCAAGGTCTCACCTTGTGGAGTTGCAATGATCATGAGAATGGTGAGGAATCAGCCCAGAACTACACGGGAGGATCTTGTCAATGATCTCAAGGCAGCTGGGACCATAGTCACCAAGAAAACAATTGGTAACACACTACGCCGTGAAGGACTGAAATCCTGCAGTGCCCGCAAGGTCCCCCTGCTCAAGAAAGCATATATACATGCTCGTCTGAAGTTTGCCAATGAACATCTAAATGATTCAGAGGAGAACTGGGTGAAAGTGTTGTGGTCAGATGAGACCAAAATCGAGGTCTTTGGCATCAACTCAACTCGCCGTGTTTGGAGGAGGAGGAATGCTGCCTATGACCCCAAGAACACCATCCCCACCGTCAAACATGGAGGTGGAAACATTATGCTTTGGGGGTGTTTTTCTGCTAATGGGACAGGACAACTTCGCCGCATCAAAGGGACGATGGACGGGGCCATGTACCGTCAAATCTTGGGTGAGAACCTCCTTCCCTCAGCCAGGGCATTGAAAATGGGTCGTGGATGGGTATTCCAGCATGACAATGACCCAAAACACACGGCCAAGGCAACAAAGGAGTGCCTCAAGAAGAAGCACATTAAGGTCCTGGAGTGGCCTAGCCCGTCTCCAGACCTTAATCCCATAGAAAATCTGTGGAGGGAGCTGAAGGTTCGAGTTGCCAAACGTCAGCCTCAAAACCTTAATGACTTGGAGAAGACCTGCAAAGAGGAGTGGGACAAAATCCCTCCTGAGATGTGTGCAAACCTGGTGGCCAACTACAAGAAACGTCTGACCTCTGTGATTGCCAACAAGGGTTTTTCCACCAAGTACTAAGTCATGTTTTGCAGAGGGGTCAGATACTTATTTCCCTCATTAAAATGCAAGTCAATTTATAAAATTTTTGACACGGGTTTTTCTGGATTTTGTTGTTGTTATTCTGTCTCTCACTGTTCAAATAAACCTACCTAAAAAAAATAAACCTAAAATTATAGACTGATCATTTCTTTGTCAGTGGGCAAACGTACAAAATCAGCAGGGGATCAAATACTTTTTTCCCTCACTGTACATACGAAATGAGTAAAGCAGTATGTAAACATTATTAAAGTGACCAGTGGTTCCATGTCTATGTATATATAGCAGCAGAATCTAAGGTGCAGGGTTGAGTAACCGGGAGGTAGCCTGCTAGTGATGGCTATTTAACAGTCTGATGGCCTTGAGATTGAAGCTGTTTTTCAGGCTCTCGGCCCCAGCTTTGATGCACCTGTACTGACCTCGCCTTCTGGATGGTAGCGGGGTGAACAGGTCATGGCTCGGGTGGTTGATGTCCTTGATGATCTTTTTGGCCTTCCTGTGACATCGGGTGCTGTAGGAGTCCTGGAGGGCAGGCAGTGTGCCCCCGGTGATGCGTTGGGCAGACCGCACCACCCTCTGGAGAGCCTTGCGGTTGCGGGCGGTGCAGTTGCCATACCTGGCGGTGATACAGCTCAACAGGATACTCTCAAATGTGTATCTGTAAAAGTTTGTGAGCGTCTTAGGGGCCAGGCCACATTTCTTCAGCCTCCTGAGGTTGAAGAGGCGCTGTTGCACCTTCTTCACCACACTGTCTGTGTGGGTGGACCATTTCAGTTTGTCAGTGATGTGTACGCCAAGGAACTTGAAGCTTTCCACCTTCTCCACTGCGGGTCCCGTCGATGTGGATAGGGGCGTGCTCCCTCTGCTGTTTCGTGAAGTCCACGATCAGCTCCTTCGTTTTGTTGACGTTGAGGGAGGGGTTATTTTCCTGGCACCACTCCCAGAGCCCTCACCTCCTCCCTGTAGGCTGTCTCGTCGTTGTTGATAATCAGGCCTACTACGGTTGTGTCGTCTGGAAATTTGATGATTGAGTATGAGGCATGCATGGCCACGCAGTCATGGGTGAACAGGGAATACAGGAGGGGGCTGAGCACGCACCCTTGTGGGGCCCCAGTGTTGAGGATCAGCAAAGTGGAGGTGTTGTTTCCTACCTTCACCACCTGGGGGTGGCCCGTCAGGAAGTCCAGGACCCAGTTGCACAGGGCGGGGTTCAGACCCAGGGACCCGAGTTTAATGATGAGCTTGGAGGGTACTATGGTGTTGAAGGCTGAGCTGTAGTCAATGAACAGCATTCTTACATAGGTATTCCTCTTGTCCAGATGGGATAGGGCAGTGTGATGGCGATTGCATTGTCTGTGGATCTATTGGGGCGGTAAGCAAATTGAAGGGGGTCTAGGGTGTCAGGTAAGGTAGAGGTGATATGATCCTTAACTAGTCTCTCAAAGCACTTCATGATGACAGAAGTGAGTGCTACGGGGCGATAGTCATTTAGTTCAGTTACCTTTGCTTTCTTGGGTACAGGAACAATGGTGGCCATCTTGAAGCATGTGGGGACAGCAGACTGGGATAGGGAGAGATTGAATATGTCCGTAAACACTCCAGCCAGCTGGTCTGCGCATGCTCTGAGGACGCGGCTAGGGATGCCATCTGGGTCGGCAGCCTTGCGAGGGTTAACATGCTTACATTTCTTACTCACGTCGGCCACGGAGAAGGAGAGGCCACAGTCCTTGGCAGTGGGCCCCGTCGGTGGCACTGTGTTATCCTCAAAGCGGGTGAAGAAGGTGTTCAGCTTGTCTGGGAGCAAGACGTCGGTGTCCACAACGTGGTTGGTTTTCCTATTGTAGTCTGTGATTGTCTGTAGTCCCTGCCATATACATCTCGTGTCTGAGCCGTTGAATTGCGACTCAACTTTGTCTCTATACTGACGTTTTACCTGTTTGATTGCGGAGGGAACAACTACACTGTTTGTATATTCCACCATATTCCCCGTCACCTTGCCATGGTTAAATGCGGTGGTTCGTGCTTCAGTTTTGCGCGAATGCTGCCATCTATCCACGGTTTCTGGTTTGGGTAGGTTTTAATAGTCACAGTGGGAACAACATCCCCTATACACTTCCTGATGAACTCAGCCACCGTGTCCGTGTATACGTCAATGTTATTCTCAGAGACTAACCGGAACAGATCCCAGTCCGCGTGATCAAAACAATCTTGAAGCATGTTTTTCCAGTGCGAGAACTACAGTCGATGTGTTGACAGAACTTCGGTAGCGTTTTCCTCAAATTTGCTTTGTTAAAATCCCCAGCTACAATAAATGCAGCCTCAGGATATGTGGTTTCCAGTTTGCACAAAGTCCACTGTAGTTCCTTGAGGGCCGTCGTGGTATCAGCTTAAGGGGGGAATATACACGGCTGTTACTATAACCGAAGAGAATTCTCTTGGGAGGTAATACGGTCGGCATTTGATTGTGAGGTAGTCTAGGTCGGGTGAACAAAAATACTTGCGTTTCTGTATGTTATCACAATCACACCATGAGTAGTTAATCATGAAACACCACCGCCTTTCTTCTTCCCGGAGAGTTTTTATTCCTGTCTGCGTGATGTACTGAGAACCCAGCTGGCTGTATGGACGGGGTGGGGGCGGTATATCCCAAGAGAGCCATGATTCTGTGAAACAGAGTATGTTACAGTCCCTGATGTCTCTCTGGAAGGAGATCCTCGCCCTGAGCTCGTCTACTTTAGTAACATACTCGAAAAGTGGTGGATGGTGTGCACGCCTCCTGAGTCTGACTAGAAGTCCACATTCCGAATACCTCTTCTCCACTGGAGCAGCCTCTGAGATAAGTTCAATTGCCCTGAGGGGTACGAACAAAGGATCCAATTCGGGAAAGTCATATTCCTGGTCGTAATGCTGGTGAGTTATCGCTGCTCTGAAATCCAAAGGTTATTTCCGGCTGCATGTAATAATAACACAAAAAACATTCTGGGCTAATAATGTAAGAAATAGACACACACACAAAAAATACTGCAAAGTTGTTTAGGAGCTGGAAGCAGAGCTGTCATGTCTGTTGCTGAGGAGCTAGGAGCAGAGCTGTCATGTCTGTTGCTGAGGAGCTAGGAGCAGAGCTGTCATGTCTGTCAGTGCCATCTTCTAGTAAGTCCTATTAACGTTTCAATGGCCTTTATCAGAACCAGATCTGAAGCAGACGTTCCTCTCTAGGCAGGGGTCTTTATCAGAACCAGATCTGAACCAGAGGTTCCTCTCTAGGCAGGGGTCTTTATCAGAACCAGATCTGAAGCAGAGGTTCCTCTCTAGGCAGGGGTCTTTATCAGAACCAGATCTGAACCAGAGGTTCCTCTCTAGGCAGGGGTCTTTATCAGAACCAGATCTGAAGCAGAGGTTCCTCTCTAGGCAGGGGTCTTAGTGTCAAAAAGTGATAAAACCCTTTCAAGGCAGATACAAGCTTGGGATGCATTCATTGATATTAGAAGGGGCACCACTATTCTTTTTACATAATTCAATATGGCCGCCAATACTGAATCCGATTTTGGAAAGTTTATATTACTGTTAAATTTTTGTTGCCATATGTAATAAAAATCTTGCGTATTTGTGAGTAGTGGACCGGTCTTCAACAATATGCCATTACATTTCATAAGCAACCTGCCTACAGTGGCAGAAATGGAAACGCCAGAAATCAACCTGCAAACTACTTGAATTTTATTGAACTACTACATGAATCACCTTGAAAACATCATGCTATCAAGCTTAAAAATTCCAAACGCAGATCACAGAACACCTTCATCCTGTTAATCACAGAACACCTTAATCCTGGCCAATCACAGAACATCTTAATCCTGGCCAAATACCTGTGATGACCAAACACTGTTTGCTCTTGCAAAGTTAGTTCAGTGGAGCTTTCCTAAGGCTTATGGAGAGCAAATGTTTGTGGTTATGTTTGGTGGACTGCATATAGAGATGGCCCTTTGGCACACAATAAGATAACTTTACGATGGCTCAGGTTGGAGTGGCACCTCGGGGACAGCAGAATCATTCTTGAGGGCAGACTAAAACACAGTCAACATACAGACGCACACAAACACCCACAACATCACCCCTGCCCAGACCCACCTGCTCACACCCCCATCTCCAGCATCACCCCTGCCCAGACCCACCTGCTCACACCCCCATCTCCAGCATCACCCCTGCCCAGACCCACCTGCTCACACCCCCATCTCCAGCATCACCCCTGCCCAGACCCACCTGCTCACACCCCCATCTCCAGCATCACCCCTGCCCAGACCCACCTGCTCACACCCCCATCTCCAGCATCACCCCTGCCCAGACCCACCTGCTCACACCCCCATCTCCAGCATCACCCCTGCCCAGACCCACCTGCTCACACCCCCATCTGCAGCATCACCCCTGCCCAGACCCACCTGCTCACACCCCCATCTCCAGCATCACCCCTGCCCAGACCCACCTGCTCACACCCCCATCTGCAGCATCACCCCTGCCCAGACCCACCTGCTCACACCCCCATCTGCAGCATCACCCCTGCCCAGACCCACCTGCTCACACCCCCATCTCCAGCATCACCCCTGCCCAGACCCACCTGCTCACACCCCCATCTCCAGCATCACCCCTGCCCAGACCCACCTGCTCACACCCCCATCTGCAGCATCACCCCTGCCCAGACCCACCTGCTCACACCCCCATCTCCAGCATCACCCCTGCCCAGACCCACCTGCTCACCCCCCCATCTGCAGCATCACCCCTGCCCAGACCCACCTGCTCACACCCCCATCTCCAGCATCACCCCTGCCCAGACCCACCTGCTCACACCCCCCATCTCCAGCATCACCCCTGCCCAGACCCACCTGCTCACACCCCCATCTCCAGCATCACCCCTGCCCAGACCCACCTGCTCACACCCCCATCTCCAGCATCACCCCTGCCCAGACCCACCTGCTCACACCCCCATCTCCAGCATCACCCCTGCCCAGACCCACCTGCTCACACCCCCATCTCCAGCATCACCCCTGCCCAGACCCACCTGCTCACACCCCCATCTCCAGCATCACCCCTGCCCAGACCCACCTGCTCACACCCCCATCTCCAGCATCACCCCTGCCCAGACCCACCTGCTCACACCCCCATCTGCAGCATCACCCCTGCCCAGACCCACCTGCTCACACCCCCATCTCCAGCATCACCCCTGCCCAGACCCACCTGCTCACACCCCCATCTCCAGCATCACCCCTGCCCAGACCCACCTGCTCACACCCCCATCTGCAGCATCACCCCTGCCCAGACCCACCTGCTCACACCCCCATCTGCAGCATCACCCCTGCCCAGACCCACCTGCTCACACCCCCATCTGCAGCATCACCCCTGCCCAGACCCACCTGCTCACACCCCCATCTGCAGCATCACCCCTGCCCAGACCCACCTGCTCACACCCCCATCTGCAGCATCACCCCTGCCCAGACCCACCTGCTCACACCCCCATCTGCAGCATCACCCCTGCCCAGACCCACCTGCTCACACCCCCATCTGCAGCATCACCCCTGCCCAGACCCACCTGCTCACACCCCCATCTGCAGCATCACTCTCCGGCCTCAAACTGCACCATTTTGTATCTCTCCGTTGCCCACTCACTTTCAACATTTAGCGTTTGACCTTTCCATTGTGTTAATGATGGAGGATTGGTTGATTTCCAGTTTTTAAGTATACATTTTTTCAAGATGATTGACGAGGAAAGTATTGTCCAACGTATCGGGTATCTCACTGCACCCCCATATGCCATGTCTTGAAATATCCAGACAGACTAATTAAAAGTAAACTCCATTGTAATACTTCTGGCAGCTAACTTTCTAACTCCGCCCATAACATTTGGGACTTTATAGCGTTCCCAGAAGGCATGGATCATTGAGTCTTTGTTAGTTTTACACCTAAGACATGACTCTGCCATTGTGCTGTAGAATTAGTGAATTTTGTCTCTTGTAAAATAAACTCTATACATTAGTTTATACTGGATTAAGCATACATTTTCCTTAACTGTACTTTTGTTTGTCATGTTCCAGCAATCCCTCCTTTCAAGTTACTTTGCTTTCATTGTCCAAACTCCTGAAAGATGCTGCTGGATTCCACATGCACTTCTTTTACATTTTACATTTTAGTCATTTAGCAGCGCCATGCTCTACCAACTGAGCTACACAGGGCCTTGTAGACATGGAAAGCAGACATGATTCAGAAGTATCCAACCTTCCAATTCTGGAACATTGTTCTTGAATTTGAGAGGCTAGTGATGATTTTTGTCTGTGCACACAGAACTAGAGATTTTGGTCTTGATGTTGAAACATTAGAGGCCTTGGTTCCATGGTTATTTGCACTGGACAGAACAAACTGTGCAAGGTGGATTCCTATCCACATCTAAGACATGAAAGCTACCATCTATCATCAGAAAATAATTCTCAGACTGCTGGGTACTGCCAAAAACACAAAACAAGTTATCATGCAGGCCGCTTGACCATGCCCATGAGAAAAACAATGAGCTGCTGAATGGTAGAAGTCTTAAGACACTCCAGCACTGGACTTGAATAGAGTAGATTGTGGATAAATACTTTTTTCATCTTACTATCTGTGAAATAGTAAAGACTCTTACGTAAAATTTATTTTTGGTGAATTGTTTTCAAAGAAGATGGTATCTAGAATAAATATTTGACAACTTTTCAACAATTCCCAAATCCAGAGAATATATCTAAGGATAACTACAGATACTGTAATTTGGTGAATGCCGATGATTCTGAAGCTGAGAAATTATTTTTGGCATGTGGGAAGGGTCTGACTTTCGGGAAATAGCAGTTGCAGTGCCTTGCAAAAGTATTCACCCCCCTATTTTGTTGCATTACAACCTGTAATTTAAATTGATTTTTATTTGGATTTCAGGTAATGGACATACACAAAATAGTCCAAATTGGGGAAGTGAAAAAAATAAATAACTTGTTTCAAAAAATTCTAAAAATTAAATAACGGAAAAGTGGTGCGTGCATATGTATTCACCCCCTTTGCTATGAAGCCTCTAAATAAGATCTGGTGCAACCAATTACCTTCAGAAGTCACATAATTAGTTAAATAAAGTCCACCTGTGTGCAATCTAAGTGTCACATGATCTGTCACATGATCACAGTATATATACACCTGTTCTGAAAGGCCCCAGAGTCTGCAACACCACTAAGCAAGGGGCACCACCAAGCAAGCGGCACCATGAAGACCAAGGAGCTCTCCAAACAGGTCAGAAGTACAGATCAGGGATGTGTTATTTACATTTACATTTAAGTCATTTAGCAGACACTCTTATCCAGAGCGACTTACAAATTGGTACATTCAACTTATGATAGCTAGTGGGACAACCACCCTTTTTTTTATGGGGGGGGGGGGGGGGGGGGGGGGGGGGGGTAGAAGGATTACTTTATCCTATCCCAGGTATTCCTTAAAGAGGTGGGGTTTCAAGTGTCTCCGGAAGGTGGTGAGTGACTCCGCTGTCCTGGCGTCGTGGGGGAGCTTGTTCCACCATTGGGGTGCCAGAGCAGCGAATAGCTTTGACTGGGCTGAGTGGGAACTGTGCTTCCGCAGAGGTAGGGGAGCCAGCAGGCCAGAGGTGGATGAACGCAATGCCCTCGTTTGGGTGTAGGGACTGATCAGAGCCTGAAGGTAAGGAGGTGCCGTTCCCCTCACAGGATTATAAAAAAATATCAGAAACTTTGAAAAGAAAGAGAAAAAAGACAAATTGAAAGAATATGGCACCACAACAAACCTGCAAAGAGAGGGCTGCCCACCAAAACTCACGGCCCAGGCAAGGAGGGCATTAATCAGAGGCAACAAAGAGACCAAAGATAACCCTGAAGGAGCTGCAAAGCTCCACAGCGGAGATTGGAGTATCTGTCCATAGGACCACTTTAAGCCGTACACTCCGCAGAGCTGGGCTTTACGGAAGAGTGGCCAGATAAAAAGCCATTGCTTAAAGAACAAAAATAAGCAAACACGTTTGGTGTTCGCCAAAAGGAATGTGGGAGACTCCCCAAACATATCTAAGAAGGTGCTCTGGTCAGATAAAATTGAGCATTTTGGCCATCAAGGAAAACGCTATGTCTGGTGCAAACCCAACACCTCTCATCACCCCGAGAACACCATCCCCGAAGCATGGTGGTGGCAGCATCATGCTGTTGGGATGTTTTTCATCGGTAGGGACTGGGAAACTGGTCAGAATTGAAGGAATGATGGATGGCGCTAAATATAGGGAAATTCTTACATTTACATTTTAGTCATTTAGCAGACGCTCTTATCCAGAGCGACTTACATGAGCAATTAGGGTTAAGTGCCTTGCTCAAGGGCACATCGACAGATTTTGCACCTAGTCAGCTCGGGGATTAGAACCAGTGACCTTTCGGTTACTGGAACAACGCTCTTACCCACTAAGCTACCTGCCGCCCCTTGAGGGAAACCTGTTTCAGTCTTCCAGAGATTTGAGACTGGGACGAAGGTTCACCTTCCAGCAGGACAATGACCCTAAGCAAACTGCTAAAGCAACACTCGAGTGGTTTAAAGGGAAACATTTAAATGTCTTGGAATGGCCTAGTCAAAGCCCAGACCTCAATCCAATTGAGAATCTGTGGTATGACTTAAAGACTGCTGTACACCAGCGGAACCCATCCAACTTGAAGGAGCTGGAGCAGTTTTGCCTTGAAGAATGGGCAAAAATCCCAGTGGCTAGATGTGCCAAGCTTATAGAGACATACCCCAAGAGACTTGCAGCTGTAATTGCTGCAAAAGGTGGCTCTACAAAATATTGACTTTGGGGGGGTGAATAGTTATGCACGCTCAAGTTTTCTGTTTTTTTGTCTTTTTTCTTGTTTGTTTCTCAACAACAAAAAAATTTGCATCTTCAAAGACGTAGGCATGTTGTGTAAATCAAAATGATACAAACCCCCCAAAAATCTATTTTAATTCCAGGTTGTAAGGCAACAAAATAGGAAAAATGCCAAGGGGGGTGAATACTTTCGCAAGCCACTGTAAGATAAGTATTTAGCCTACCAATCGCCAAACATCTATTTAGACCCAATCATGTGGCAGAAATGGAAACGCCCTGCCAATCATGATCTCTTCAAAGTAAGTTACTACATATAGTCCAGTTTGTAACATTTGCTATGAAACTGACTTTTAAATTATGTATGATTAAAATTAGTGAGCTTAGAAATTATGGATTTATGTCAATTTGAATGTGGTTAAAATTCATGAAATTTTGACGACGGTAGTATGATAAACAAAATAAAATATTTTTAGCAAGTTTTAGCACATTTTTACTTTTACTTTTTGAAATAACTAATATTAAGGGACCAAAATACCAAAATAGATAAGTAGATGCAAAAATAGTATTTCAGCCTGTGGTGCCTGGCCTTAAGGAATACATTTGATTTATTATTACCAAAAAATGTTTGTGTGAAAATGTCATTTAATAAGCTTTTTTAACTTTTGATGCATTACCATCTCCATTGGCGGCCATTTTTCCTGGTTAATTTTGAAATGAGCACCCCTTCTAGGATGTTTTCATATAATCGGAAGAATGTTTGTTCCAAATATCATGCTTTTATCTGTAGCATAACAGTTTTTATGGTCAAATACGAGGTATTATGGCAGACATTTAGAATTTTTGCGATAACTCGCTTCCTGGTTAAGTTTGAAATGGGTACCCTTTCTGGGATGTTTTCATATCACCTAAGGAATGTTTGTACCAAATGTCATGCTTGTATCCGCTGCGTAACATGTTTTTTTCCCGCCCACTAAGAGGCACCTGGAGAGCATCTCTACTAGTGTTTCTACAGCTGGTAGCATTTCTACTAGTGTTTCTACACCTGGTAGCATCTCTACTAGTGTTTCCACACCTGGAGAGCATCTATACTAGTGTTTCTACAGCTGGAGAGCATCTCTACTAGTGTTTCTACACCTGGTAGCATCTCTACTAGTGTTTCCACACCTGAAGAGCATCTCTACTAGTGTTTCTACACCTGGAGAGCATCTCTACTAGTGTTTCCACACCTGGAGAGCATCTCTACTAGTGTTTCTACACCTGGTAGCATCTCTACTAGTGTTTCTACACCTGGTAGCATCTCTACTAGTGTTTCTACACCTGGTAGCATCTCTACTAGTGTTTCCACACCTGGAGAGCATCTCTACTAGTGTTTCCACACCTGGAGAGCATCTCTACTAGTGTTTCTACACCTGGAGAGCATCTCTACTAGTGTTTCTACAGCTGGTAGCATCTCTACTAGTGTTTCTACAGCTGGAGAGCATCTCTACTAGTGTTTCTACACCTGGTAGCATCTCTACTAGTGTTTCCACACCTGAAGAGCATCTCTACTAGTGTTTCTACACCTGAAGAGCATCTCTACTAGTGTTTCCACACCTGGAGAGCATCTCTACTAGTGTTTCCACACCTGGTAGCATCTCTACTAGTGTTTCTACAGCTGGTAGCATCTCTACTAGTGTTTCTACACCTGGAGAGCATCTCTACTAGTGTTTCCACACCTGGAGAGCATCTCTACTAGTGTTTCTACAGCTGGAGAGCATCTCTACTGGTGTTTCTACACCTGGTAGCATCTCTACTAGTGTTTCTACACCTGGAGAGCATCTCTACTAGTGTTTCCACACCTGGAGAGCATCTCTACTAGTGTTTCTACACCTGGTAGCATCTCTACTAGTGTTTCTACACCTGGTAGCATCTCTACTAGTGTTTCTACACCTGGTAGCATCTCTACTAGTGTTTCTACACCTGGAGAGCATCTCTACTAGTGTTTCCACACCTGGAGAGCATCTCTACTAGTGTTTCTACAGCTGGAGAGCATCTCTACTAGTGTTTCTACACCTGGAGAGCATCTCTACTAGTGTTTCTACAGCTGGTAGCATCTCTACTAGTGTTTCTACAGCTGGAGAGCATCTCTACTAGTGTTTCTACACCTGAAGAGCATCTCTACTAGTGTTTCCACACCTGGAGAGCATCTCTACTAGTGTTTCCACACCTGGAGAGCATCTCTACTAGTGTTTCTACACCTGAAGAGCATCTCTACTAGTGTTTCCACACCTGGAGAGCATCTCTACTAGTGTTTCCACACCTGGTAGCATCTCTACTAGTGTTTCTACAGCTGGTAGCATCTCTACTAGTGTTTCTACAGCTGGTAGCATTGATCTACATTGTGTTCTCAGAGCAGACTGGTGACACAGCCATACAGTAGACCATGTTGAAAGGTTATGGAGGATGTAGCTAGCAGATCCGCCTGCTTACAGCTGCACTAGGGTCAGACAGTCTTCCTGATTAGGACCCCACGGAGCCGACACGAGATATGGCTGGGAAAACGTACCTCAATACTCAATCTCATTGTCCGACTCTAGTGCAGCTGTAAGCCAGTGGGTCGGATCTGTTGGCTAACGGAGGATGTAACCTCTTAGCCTGATCCCAGATCAGTTTAAGTGTTGTCTTGGTCATTGACAATAATGACCATACTGTAGGAGTTGGCAAAACAGCCCAAACACATCTGGGACAAGGCTATGAATCTCTTACCTTTGTCATGTACGATGAGGCTTCCTGCTGGAGGAAGGGAAGCTAGGGCCCCTGTCCTGTGTTCCTCTGTTTGGTTCGTGCTGGAGCCAGAGTTAGTGTGAGGAAGAAGAGGAATATTACTTTATTGTCCATACATTTACGACATTCGTTTTTTCTATATCCAATTCTCCCAGGAAGATTGAAATACAGGTTAGAGTTAGGGTCAGGGTTGGGGTCAGGGTCAGGGTTGATTAGAAGAGGAGACTCCATAATGTTAGATTCAGAGTCAATGTTGATTAGTAGAGGAGACTCCATGGTGTTAGCATCAGGATCAGGGTTGATTAGTAGAGGAGACTCCATGGTGTTAGCATCAGGATCAGGGTTGATTAGTAGAGGAGACTCCATGGTGTTAGGGTCAGCGTTGATAAAACTGAAGACATAGTAGTAGTGTTGTACGTCAGGCTACACCTGGGTGGTGGGGGGGGTGATGGTGTAGCTGGGTGGTGGATGGGTGATGTTGTAGCTGGGTGGTGGGGGGGTGATGGTGTACCTGGGTGGTGGATGGGTGATGGTGTAGCTGTGTGTCTTGAGGTGTGTGAGCTGCCACGCCCCGATCAACAGTTTGTTCTGCAGAGTACGGACATCACGTCTCAACTCCTCTAGTTCCAGAACACAGGGGTCTGACGCCTCGGGGGGGAGATGGAGGAAATGTAATCAGTCATTGAATCAATCAATCAATCAATAAATCAATTAATTGTGGCCTCCAAAAGGAAATTGGCTTTGTAAGCAGTAAACAGAAGCTTTCCAAAGCACCCTTTCTTTCCAAAGCACCCTTTCTTTCCAAAGCACCCTTTCTTGTTGAAAGAAGCCGGGCCTAAGGAAGATTACAGAGCCAGTGCAGTGTAGAATTGGCCCCAGTGATTGGTACATACTGAGAGTCCAGGTAACACCATGGTTTGGCACAGCAGTACCAGCAGTAGCAGCAGCAGCAGTAGCATCAGAGACATGGTCTTCAGGTAGAAATCTATAACAAGATACAATCATTAAGAATATGTAAGGCTAAACGATGCACTCAATATATGCAGGCAAAGGACACTGATACATCTAATAACAGATCCTAGTATATTTCATCTGTCAACAGGGCTACATAGCAGGTACAGTATTCAGACCCCTTGACTTTTTACACATTTTGTTACGTTACAGCCTTATTCTAAAATGGATTTTTTTATTTTTTATTTTTTTATTAAATAAATGTTTAAATAATTTGTTTTCCTCATCACTCTACAAACAATACCCCATAATGAATAAGCAAAAACAGGTTTGTAGAAATGTTTGCAAATGTATTAAAAATAAACAACAGAAATACCCTGCCCTAAATGCATTCGGAAAGTATTCAGACCCCTTGACTTTTTCCACATTTTGTTACGTTACAGGCTTATTCTAAAATGGATTACATTACTTTTTTTCCTCATCAATCTACCACAAAACCCCACAATGACAAAGTGAAAATAGTTTTTAATAAGTATTCAGACCCTTTGCTATGATACTCTAAATTGAGCTCAGGTGCATCTTGTTTCCATTGATCATCCTTAAGATGTTTCTACAACTTGATTGGAGTCCACCTGTGGTAAATTCAGTTGATTGGACATGATTTGGAAAGACACACACCTGTCTATATAAGGTCCCACAGTTGACAGTGCATGTCAGAGCAAAAACCAAGCCATGAGGTCGAAGGAATTGTCCGTAGAGCTCCGAGACAGGATTGTGTCTAGGCACAGATCTGGGGAAAGGTACCAAAAAATGTCTGCAGCATTGAAGGTCCCCAAGAACACAGTGGCCTCCATCATTCTTAAATGGAAAAAGTTTGGAAACACAAAGACTCTTCCTAGAGCTGGCCACCAGCCAAACTGAGCAGTCAGTGGAGAAGGGCCTTGGTCAGGGAGGTGACCAAGAACCTGATGGTCACGCTGACAGAGCTCCAGAGTTCCTCTGTGGAGATGGGAGAACCTTCCAGAAGGACAACCATCTCTGCAGCACTCCACCAATCAGGCCTTTATGGTAGAGTAGCCAGACGGAAGCCACTCCTCAGTAAAAGGCACATGACAGCCCGCTTGGAGTTTGCCAAAAGGCACCTAAAGGACTCTCAGATCATGAGAAACAAGATTCTCTGGTCTGATGAAACCAAGATTTAACTCTTTGGCCTGAATGCCAAGTGTCACGTCTGGAGGAAACCTGGCACCATCCCTACGGTGAAGCATGGTGGTGGCAGCATCAAGCTGTGGGGATGTTTTTCAGCGGCAGGGACTGGGAGACTAGTTAGGATCGGGGAAAAGATGAACTGAGAGATCCTTGATGAAAACCTGCTCCAAAGCACTCAGGACCTCAGACTGGGGCGACGGTTCACCTTTCAAAAGGACAATGACCCTAATCACAGAGCCAAGACAACGTAGGAGTGGCTTCGGGACAAGTCTCTGAATGTCCTTGAGTGGCCCAGCCAGAGCCCGGACTTGAACCCGATCAAACATCTCTGGAGAGACCTGAAAATAGCTGTGCAGCAACGCTCCCCATCCAACCTGACAGAGCTTGAGAGGATCTGCAGAGAAGAATGGGAGAAACTCCCCAAATACAGGTGTGCCAAGCTTGTAGCATCATACCCAAGAAGACTTGAGGCTGTAATCACTTCCAAAGGTGCTTCAACAAAGTACTGAGTAAAGGGTCTGAATATTTACATAAATGTGATATTTAAGTTTTTGCTTTGTCATTATGGGGTATTGTGTGTAGATTGATGAGGGAAAAAAACAATTTAATCAATTTTAGAATAAGGCTGTAACGTAACAAAATGTGGAAAAAGTCAAGTGGTCTGAATACTTTCCGAATGCACTGTATCTAGGATAAAAAGTAACATTGATATTAGGTTACATTACATTGAATGGATACCTGAAATAGTCTTAATATTATTCATATAACAACGTTTATAAAACAGAAACATGCATACATAGAGCCTACCTTGACTCCTTCGGTGTTTCTTCCGTTGTGAGTCAAGGAAGATCTGTCGTCTAGGTGCAGTGTGTTCCGACACCCTGTGATTTATCGGCCCAGACCCGGTCCGCTCGGTTCCGCATGGTCCATGTTAGAGAAAGAGCAGAATGGAGTTTCCCCTGAAATCTGATGGATGATCAGTTAGGCTTTTCCCCCCTGGTGGTAAAGGTAGGGAGTTGGTGTGGATAAGCTGATCTTAGACCTGTATCTAGCCTACGGTCCGTGCTCTGTGGTGAAGATTTGAGCATCGTCACAAATGGCAGCCTACTTCTGACTATAGTGCTGGTGAAACGTAGCGCACTATGTAGGGAATACAGTTCCATTTGGGATACACCCTTCTTCACATACCACTCTCCTGTGTCTGGTCCAGGAAAACACATTATACACCATCCTACCACTCTCCTGTCTGGTCCGGGAAAACACATTATACACCATCCTACCACTCTCCTGTGTCTGGTCCGGGAAAACACATTATACACCATCCTACCACTCTCCTGTCTGGTCCGGGAATAAACATTATACACCATCCTACCACTCTCCTGTCTGGTCCGGGAAAACACATTATACACCATCCTACCACTCTCCTGTGTCTGGTCCAGGAAAACACATTATACACCATCCTACCACTCTCCTGTGTCTGGTCCGGGAAAACACATTATACACCATCCTACCACTCTCCTGTGTCTGGTCCGGGAAAACACATTATACACCATCCTACCACTCTCCTGTCTGGTCCGGGAATAAACATTATACATCATCCTACCACTCTCCTGTCTGGTCCGGGAAAACACATTATACACCATCCTACCACTCTCCTGTGTCTGGTCCGGGAATAAACATTATACACCATCCTACCACTCTGTCTGGTCCGGGAAAACACATTATACATCATCCTACCACTCCATCCTACCACTCCATCCTACCACTCTGGTCCTGGGAAAAACATTATACACCATCCTACCACTCTGTCTGGTCCGGGAAAAACATTATACATCATCCTACCACTCTGTCTGGTCTGGGAAAAAACATTATACATCATCCTACCACTCTGTCTGGTCCGGGAAAACACATTATACATCATCCTACCACTCTCCTGTGTCTGGTCCGGGAAAAAACATTATACATCATCCTACCACTCTGTCTGGTCCGGGAAAAAACATTATACACCATCCTACCACTCTCCTGTCTGGTCCGGGAAAAAACATTATACATCATCCTACCACTCCATCCTACCACTCCATCCTACCACTCTGGTCCTGGGAAAAACATTATACACCATCCTACCACTCTGTCTGGTCCGGGAAAAACATTATACATCATCCTACCACTCTGTCTGGTCTGGGAAAAAAACATTATACATCATCCTACCACTCTGTCTGGTCCGGGAAAACACATTATACATCATCCTACCACTCTCCTGTGTCTGGTCCGGGAAAAAACATTATACATCATCCTACCACTCTGTCTGGTCCGGGAAAAAACATTATACACCATCCTACCACTCTCCTGTCTGGTCCGGGAAAAAAACATTATACATCATCCTACCACTCCATCCTACCACTCCATCCTACCACTCTGGTCCTGGGAAAAACATTATACACCATCCTACCACTCTGTCTGGTCCGGGAAAAACATTATACATCATCCTACCACTCTGTCTGGTCTGGGAAAAAACATTATACATCATCCTACCACTCTGTCTGGTCCGGGAAAACACATTATACATCATCCTACCACTCTCCTGTGTCTGGTCCGGGAAAAAACATTATACATCATCCTACCACTCTGTCTGGTCCGGGAAAAAACATTATACACCATCCTACCACTCTCCTGTGTCTGGTCCGGGAATAAACATTATACACCATCCTACCACTCCATCCTACATTTGAAAATGGACGTGTTCTTTTCAGACACTATCATCATCATCATCATCATGTGGTTTTCTGTGTGTTTTTCCCAGCAGCAGCTGTGTCTGGCTAGATGGAGTACGGGTGCAGAAGCATTCATTCCCTTTATTGATTCCAGACGTATCAGATGGGAGTACGGGTGCAGAGGCATTCATTCCCTTTATTGATTCCAGACGTATTCTCAGAAGCCTTACCAGCTGCAACTGAGAAGAAAAATAGTTTTTTATGTGAAAGATTGGCACACATAATCACGTGAATATTGGTATATTCACGTGATCCTCTGTAGCTCAGCTGGTAGAGCACGGCGCTTGTAACGCCAGGGTAGTGGGTTCGATCCCCGGGACCACCCATACGTAAAAATGTATGCACACATGACTGTAAGTCGCTTTGGATAAAAGCGTCTGCTAAATGGCATATTATTATTAAAGTGAATATAAGTTTACAGTTTAAGAACATTAC